TCACGCTATGCTCCCAAGATGGTGAAAGGAGATTTAAGCCTCTTGCAGAAAATACCCAACAAGGATTGCCTCCAGCTTGGCTTGGGTATGAAGGGCAAAAAGGGAGGAAACGCAGCTGAACGGTGGCTACTTGGGTGGGGCTGGCAGTACGTGGGAAGGTGCCACCAGGCAGAGGGAAAAGGCACACAGCCAGCACCTTGGTTCCTCCTCACCACCAGCCACCTGCACCAAACCCCAGCCTGCAAAAGCAGACGTGCTGGCCATTGGAGTTTTGCACCTCTGGGGTTTTCCCCAGCAAGGCTTAGCCTGCCCTGCTGATGTTGGGTAATACCTTCATTCTTCCAGGTATAAACTCATCCTAGGGTGAACCAGAGCCCAGAGGTAGCGTGTGCTTCCCCAGGAAGGAGCGTTAGTAACACTACTGATGATCCCATAGAAAGCTGGAGAAGGTATTTAGTGTGACAAAATAGGTAGAGACCCACATTTGGAAAACAGGCCTGTTCTGCACTGGGTGGAGCTGATGTAGTGTGGCTCTCACGGGACTCTCGTGGTTTTCTGCCCCATGCCCCAACTCTGTAGCTGCCATTATAAACACAGGCCTATAGTCACTGCTTTTCTACCTTCATTCTTGCTGAAATATTTACACTCACACATGAGACTTCTACTGTTTGCATCCTTTGACGCTGCACCAAGCGCACGAGCACAGTTCTCTGGCCAGCTTTGCACTAACTCTTGCTGCTACTCTGAGTTGTACGTCATGCTGATCTGGAGCTGGCCCTTGCCAAACAGAAGCTCTAACAGCTGAACCTCCCTCCTCTTCCCTCTTCCCATGAATCATAATTTTGCTCTCATAGCAATCAGCTGTTTTTTCACAAAATCCGTAGGAGCTCCATTATCTCAATAAAAATACTTCTGCTTTTATAGCCTTTGCTTCTGTTGTTTTGAAATTTAGCTTCTGCATTTTGAAAATTTAGTTTGAGACTGGCCAGCAGCACTAACTGGAAGATATCTCCAAGGGAAACCATGTAAGAAGCAGGGCAATGAAATGAAGACTGTAATGTCTTATAAAGAAAAAAAAAGGGGGAGGGGTGTTATAGCCCTTACATTACATCTGCTCTTGTTCTTTCTCCCTCACTGTACACACATCTGTACCTCATGCCCTTGTGTAAGACTGGCATTGCTCATTCCCAATGCACTTTGGAGTGATTTTCATTTCCCAGATGTGGAAACAGAACTAGAATCAAATATCTTGCTCAGGGTTACCTAGAAACCTGAGTAAGGCCTCAGTCTGGGGTTTCTGAAGTGCTGTTTTGTCTCTTGCCAGCTGGAAAACACAAGGATGTCCCCTCACAGTCCTCAGCACTGGTGCTTCATGTGCAGTACCTCTTCCACACGTCTGTGCAGAGCTCAGCTCTTCAGTTTGTGGAGATGGCACTGCATTTCCACTGAAGGAATTCAATTTACACCCATTCTCCTGGTAAGTTTTTTATGAGCTTTTTAAAACCTTCATTCCTTCCCTAAAATCTTTTTGACCATACATCAGAATTAAAGAAACCAACTCCCAGTTCTAGGCACTACTCTTCAAAAGGAACTAAGCTCATCCTGCATCTAAAAGATCAGATCAGTTTCATCCCAATAATTTTGAAATCAGTATAGAACCTGCATCCTAATTCAGTTTTTTTTTAATTGTTTTTGAAGTAAGCAGAGGGTGCACGCAAGATGCTACATGTTACTGTAATCAAGGAATATTGCTAGCCACATAGCTTCAACCCTAGCCCCAGCTTCAGAGAAATGTTTGGACAGACAGAATGAGATTAATTCCTTTGTTTTTTATTCCTTTTTTAAAATTTTCTGTCAAAAGGAAAGAAAAAGTTTAAAAAAAAAGGTCCTCACAAACAGTAAATGAGGAGTTTGATAAGGTTTAGAACCAAGCTTGGGGAAACAAAAGTGATGTTTTCTTCAATACTTGGGATGAAGTACCCACCTGGAATTTTATGATGTATTGTTTGTGCAAACAAGCAAACAAGTGTTAACTATATATATGTGTGTGTGTGTGTGTGTGTGTGTGCGTGTGCGTGTGTGTGTACATACATACATATATATATATACTTATATATAAAACAATGCTATGAAATAATATGAAAAATTAGTAGCTGGTAATTTAGATTGGTCAGAGAAGAGAATTTGGAAAAGACCCTGCTTGGCAAAACCAGCTGTGCATTTAATTTTTAAAAATTAAGTTACTCCAAGGGATGTGAAGCGGGGCACCAAAAGCTGGTGCTGGGCACCAAAAGCTGGTTGGAAAAAATCTTGTGCAGTAACAGTTTCAGAAGCAGACAGCAGCAACCTAAATAGTAATGCTATCACATAACTGAAAAGTCCTGAGATTTACTTAGACAATGTCCCTCGGAAAATTTGTTAAGAATGAAATGCAGTTAAAGCAATTTGTACCATGAAGTCAGACAGGAAATCAGACTAATCCCTGATGCAATTATGTGTAAGCTTGGCTGTCTAAGACTTACTAGAGCAAAAGAGACAGAAGAAAACCAAGCCAGAATGAGATATTGAAAGGTACTGAAAGTAGGTCACTGTCCTACATTACACAAAAGCTAAATGGAGCTCTATCATCCCACAATATCCTGAGCAAGTTGAACAAAGGACTTTTTCTGGTGCAAATCTCCTGGCAGCATCCAAGTTACACACCTGCATAAATCATGAAAAAAGTTTAGGTGTAGCAGAATTTCCGAGACAGGTAGAATGCATTGCACTGAATGAGCACAGGAGGAAACCAAGGAGAGGACCTGTGTTATAACCCTGTGCCACTGCATGATAACAAATTCCCATCAAGAAATCCTGTGACTTATTAAAAGTACAGTGTAAGTAGGACGAAGGGGCATTGAGTAGAAAAGCCATGACACTGTTAGATATATACACTAAGTCAGCAAGGTAGAAGAGATGCTTAGTAAATAGATAATAGAGTAATTAGTAATTATTAGTAATTAGTAATTAGAGTAATTTAGTAATTAGTAAATAGAGATAAAATTGCTGTAGAAAGCAGAATCTGTTTTCTACAGAATCTATTTTCTACATCATAGATGCAAAACTCTTCATCATGGTTAGTTAAAAAAGAGAATAGGCTTCCTGAGCTGTCAGGACAGCAGATGTTGACTGTTCTTGCACCTCTTCCTTCTCTTTAATATTTAAATCTTCAATTCAACTTAATTAAAAAATTGGAATTTATGTATTTTTACTGAATTAAGTATTTTTCCCCTTATATAGGCACAGTTACAGAACAGTTGTTAAAAATTGAAACTTAAAAGATGAAAATTGTTTGAAAGGTTGTTCAAGCACAATGGGTTTTGCTGGTTTGGGATATCCCCAACTCCCCAGCTTATATTAGTTTAATAATGAATTAGGTTAAGTGTTTACTGTTTTTTTTTTTAATGGAAAAAGGCCATAATTCAACACCAAAACATTATCATAGCAAGTTGTTTAAAGATGAATGTAGATAGTCTGTAGATAATATTAATTTAATCACTTAACTGTGGATGTCATATTCCTATCCAAAACCACTAGGAAAAGTGATTTTCTGTTCACAATCCTTGTCTCAAATTGCTGGAAATGTTTGAGATTAGAGCATAGTTTTCTTAGGTGTATATAGAGCCCAACATCCTCATACCACTGCCTTCCCCAAATATTATAAACCCCTTATAACAAATATTATTATATTATTATATAATCATATAATAATATTTATTAGAGAAATCTGAATATTACATAAGAAGAGTTGTCTGTCTGACAATAAGATTTTCTAAATTTGTGATTTGAATTTAGGCAGTCAGACAAAATGAAAATGTTGGTCTCAGTCTTTGTCTGTATAGTATTAAGGCACATTGCTAAAACAGACCTGTTTCTGCTTCATCTGTGATGTGTGAGAAGAGACTGTCCCAATAGTGCCTCATGATATGAAGATGCACAGCAGAAGTTTAATAGTAAATTTTAAGAACCCTTAAAAATACTATTTTATATTAATTGTCATATTACATAGATAACTAATAACTGGCTTAATAAAAACAACCAGTTCATGGTGCCCTTGGATAAATGTTCTAGAACAAAGCAAACTCTGAACTCCACTGGAGCAGAGCTTCCCAGGACAGGTCTGTCTTCATTCCAGCATCAAACCTGGCAGGATTTGTGAGCATCCTGGGTTCATATGCTACAAATTTTTAAATTCCCTTCTAGCTAAATGCAGGACATGTATTTTTTTTTTTTTTTTATGTGTCAGTCCATTTTAGTTTATCTAAATATTTCTATTCAAATCAATAATTATCAGGCTTCTTGCTTTATGGCATTTAAATTTGACTTACTTTCCAAATGAACATTATTCCTTATCTGTGGAAAGTCGGAATCTGCAAAAAGAAATGCTCCTGAAGCCATTAGCACACATCCTAAATAAAATAGTTTCCTGTTTTTGCTACCATGTGCACTGAAAAAAGAAAGTCCATTAGATAGAAATACTGTCTTTCTAAAACCAGCAGATTTTTATTTCTGCAATGTCTAAGCACTGTAATTCTCAGCAGAAAATTACACTGGATCAGTGGGCGGTTCCGAATTGCTGGAAAGTTTACAATGGCTTTTATGCTTAAACATCATTTAGCAGCTGTTAAAGGTCAGCACAAATCCTGTACTTTATCAGTACAAATGAAGTGTAAAACTGCCAAGAAAAGAATGCATTAAATAATGCAGTGATTATCGTCTTGAATTTCTTTTCCCTTCAGAAGTGAAAAAGACCTCTTAAGTGGTTATATTTCTCTCCTCCTTATTTCAAATTGACAAAAGTAAAACACTAATTAAATTATTTATATCAGAAATTAACTTACAAGGATGACACATTTTGTAAACAAAGCCACTGAAACACCTGACACATCTTATAGTGCCAGGTGCAGTTAAGAAAGTGTAATATGTTAGCATCCAGAGGCTAAAAAATCCAACAAAGTTGCTGCAATATTTCATTATCAATTTTATTTCCTACCATACACCAAATGTACAGCACAGAACACAATTTTGTTGTTTTGATGTAAGAAATATTAATTGTATGAAGAAACAGTATACAAACTACTCCAAATTAAAAAATGCATACATCATTGCTCTTTACAAAAGGTCTAATTTACAGTATAGCTCATCAATGCATTTAAACACAAAAAAAAAAAAAAAAAAAAAAAAAAAAAAAAAAAAAAAAAAAAAAAAAAAAAAAAAAAAAAAAAGAAAAACAGAAAGAAAAAAAAACAGTGCACATTACAAAACACATCAAGTACAAGGGAGGCAAATAAATACAAACATACTTCACAGAACATCCTGAGCAAACAACCAAACACATATAAATTAACCTGAAGCCATAGTAAATCATAATAATAAATACATAGGTCAGTAAGAGATTTGTTTTTACTTAAATAAAATATATAACAAATTTGTTAAAATATTTAGTAAATTAAACTTTAGTCTTTGTAATGAGTGAACTCCTTTTGTATGCATTTAACAAGTATAACAAATGTTTGCTTTTTGAGTTTTTAGCAAGAACAATAATAGCAAATTTTTGTTTGGTGTTCTCCTATTTATATTAGACAGCACATATGGTAGCTTTTGAAAAATCAATTTAAAAATAAACACAGCTCCTAAGAACACACATTTTCCTCTGTCTAAACTAAGATCGGAGAGCTGAATCAGCCCCCCAACGAAAAGCAAGCCCCACCTAATTGCAGAACAGTGACCACAGTGCATGAGAGTTGAATCACTTCTGAATAGTACTTTTGTGCAGGAACAGTAATAATATAATTGTATATGTCAAGCCTGTGAATGCCATCATATTCAATCTAAATATAAATGCGGCTAATAAAAATAAACACTTTCATTATAGCACGGAAAAATTAAACACACGCTAGATCCATGTATACATTTACACTGAGGCACATATGCACATGAGGTGTGTGTGCATACAAAAAAGGCAGTTTAGCTGGTTGTTTATACCTTTTTCTTAAAAAAAATAAATATAAAAAAAACTTCTGAAACAATGCTTAATTACTTACAATCCCTGAAATAGACATTGCCTCTGTTATAGCAACCACTAGTTTCTGACGGATTCAGAAGTTCCACACCCAGGCTAACCGGATACTGAGGCGCATGCCCGCGCCTCTGCGCAAGTGCTCGTCTGTCCACACCTCCACCTGTCTGTCTGCTCTGTAGCACTTGGGACCCTACCAGAAGACTGGTGACAAATTCAGTATCAGCCTAGTATCGGTGAAGAAGGATGGGAGAAACCAGTCACGGTGTTGCTACTGATCATTCAAAGGGACAAGCGACCACCGTGGTGCCAGAGGGGTGTTGTTGCCCTCCAGAGCGCTGCCTTCTCAGCTGCCATTACCTTCAAACCAGTATTAAATGCCATTTCAGGGGAGATGTGTTCGACTCATTATGTACAAAGCCTTTAGCTTGGGATGTGTTTGCGATTTTTAAATCCAAATCCATTGCAATACTGGTCACTTGCTTAAAATCTCAACGTCTCATACTAAAAAAGTACCAGCACCTACCTAATTACCCTTCTTGTTTAGAGATAATTGTCATTTCTCTCCATGAGCTAACTCTGAACAAAAGCTGCAGTGGTAAAATAAATCTGAAGTTCTCTTGAAACATTTTAAATAATCATTCTCATAGGCTAAATCACACAGCCAAGTCAAGTGCTTTGCTGATTGCTATATTTCATTATTGCTAACATATTTTTTAACACACTGTTTTCCAGCATACTGTGCTTTTAAGAGCCCAAATTCCCCACTAGTGGGCACCATTTATCTTCTCATTCCATGCATCTTCACATCTCATGTTACTGCAAACCCATTTCCGATACAAAGCCATTATAAAAAAGCAGGATGTGAGGAAAATAAAACTAGAACCATGGTTCAGTCATTTGTTACTTTCATAGGTTTTTTTTTTTCTTCCTGTACAAACCCAGCATGTTATTTAATTTACAGTATAGCTTTCAGTCTATTTAAAATCCCATTGGAAAATAAATTAATAAACACATTTGTAAAAATATGGCAGGCCGCAAAAATGCTGTTAAAAGATAAAAAAAACAACTCTTTGATTAGAAATAAATAAAAAATATAAAAAATAGTCGCACACACTTTTTACATTCACTTTACAAAAACTGAGTGCAAAAGAAGAAAAAAAAAGGAAATTGTACTGAAATAAATACAATATACTAACAGAGTGCATTGCTGTTAATACAAATAGTCTGTTGTGGTTTTATTCTTTTTTTTTATGTCAGCTGGGAAAAAATTAGTGCAATGTTGCAATTGTAAATGCAGCATGGCAACCTACACCCCTTAGCAGTACATGAACTCCTAACAGATCCATCTGGAGTTTACTGCTGTTAAGTAATTTCTGTTGCCCAGCAGCTTTCACATCCTACACATGGATGCCCTTCACTGCCTGTTTGATACTTTCCAGCAGAGCTTTGCATTCGGGGGAATAGTCCCGTTCCAGATTGCTGTACATGTCTGTGAGTGTATTTACATATGCTTCGAAATTCTGCTCACTGATTGGCCCCTAAATGGAGACAAAACAGATTATAATTGTAGGAGGTAAAATTAAGGCCAGAAATACCCAAACACCCAACCCCAAGCATGTCAAAGGAGCAATATGGCAACTGGGGAGAAGTCATAAACAGGGCAGCCATCCAGATTAATGGAAAGGTTGTGGAAATTACAGGAGTTGCATGTCCTGGGGAATCCACACTCTCTCCAAGCAAGAAAAGGAGTTGAAGATATTATGGTTAGTGTAATTTTTTTTTTTTTTTTTCTTTTGCCAATTTGTCTCTGGGGTTATGGCTGATGTTCTCCCAAGCTGTCCTTTCTTAATCAGGAACCAGGAAATCCTGGAAACAGGAGTACCTCTGTGGATTTGGCCTTTGTTTGAAAGTAAGAAGTGAAATTCTTGAGAAGATGGAGCTTGGTTGTCTCCAAAAAAATCATCTGTATGAAACAGGTTATAGTTTTGATCTGGGAGCTAAGTATATGAGGATTCTCATCAGAGTGAAGTTTTCACTCTTTGTGCAGGGTGGGTGTTCAGACAGGGAGGTCTGATGGAAAAGCCTGCCTTGCCCGGTGTGGTAGAGGGCAGAGATACCAGGGCTGGTATTCCTCAAAGTTAATGCACCTACTACCACACAGACTTCATGATCTTGCATCTCTGCAAAGCAAATCAGCCTAAAAGCACTCTCTACTAATGCAGCTCCAGTGCTCCTGCCAGTCCCTGACTTTGCTCATCTGCTTCAAGTGCTGGCAAGACAATCTCCAAAGAAGGTGTTAACCTGCTGGCTGTGGGCTTACCATCTGTGGCAGCTGAATGTCAGCGAGGCTGGAGATAAGGGCTTGGCTTAAGCCAGCTAACTCCTTCAACAGGCTCTCGTTGTTCTGCTCTATGAGTTTGTTCTCCTCTTCTATTGTTTTCAAATTGCTCTCCATCGATGTGATCTAAAAGAGACAGGCAGGCACAAACACAGTCAGATAAATCCTTGGCATTATTGTTACTGCAGTTTGAACCCAAAATATCAGGTGGGTGATTACAAGAGAGGCCATGATCTATCTGAAACTCAGCTATGTTTTTTTTAGGAGAGACATAGCTTTTCCACAGAACATTCAGAGCAAAGAAGAGGTTGTATTTGCTCTGAAATGATGGACTTTGATGCTGGTTCATGGAGAAACCTTGTGGCAGCAAGGCACTAGACAGTGCCTCAGAGTGGGAAGAGGGAATTGAGCTTGGAGAGGAGGGTCAGGGTGGAGTGTGGAGCTGGGACAGAGTGTGGCCTCAGGGCTGGCGGAGGGAAGGAGAAAGGAGGTTGATGTTTATATTGCTGTTCTGCTCTTACAGCATCCCTGCTGCTCGACCACAATAGCGAGGGCACGGGTATTAGCTGTTGTGCTATTTTCCTGCCCTGCTCCTGGGTGAGCTCTGGGCTGGCTGGGATTAGCAACAGGCCTGGTGCTGGGAACAATGAGAAAAAAATAGAGTGGAAAGGAAACTGAGAGGCTGAGGATGTACCACAAAGATGATCTCTGACCAACAGAATGGAGAGTTTTGGAAAGAGCAGGGAAAAAATGGTATATTTTTAAAAGTGGGAGTTCTGGGATATACTCAGATCTAAAAGCTTAGATGTCAAAAGTGCTAAAAAAACAAAGTGCTAAAAAAACAAAACTAGCAATGGTAGGGTCTGGTTCCCTCCTGCCCTGCTCCTTGTCTCGGGAGCAGACAGCTCAGCAGGGTAGAACCAAGGGCTGCCATCCCTGTGCCCTGCCACAGCTCCTCAAGGCACTGATCGGCGCAGTCCTATCCATGATTGCCATACCCTCACTTCCTTATTAGTATGCACCTCTTTGCACTACTTAATTGCCTCCTGCTTGTGGCCACTTTACTTCCTTCTTCGCACAACTCCCCAGTGTGAGAAACCCCTTTTTGTGTGCCTGCCATCCACTACAATGTGTCCTCTGGAGGGTGTTCGTAGCAGTCTAGCACCTGGCTGGGATGGAATAAAAGGAGGCAGGAGATTTATGTTTTCTGCTGTAGTTCAGTTCAGGCTTTGCTGGTCAAGGTGCCTTCACCAGGGAGAAAGTCCAGGGAGAAGAAAAGTGAATGCATAAACTGGGTGATCTCCATGCAAATAGCACAGTGACCACCAGAGAGGACCAAGTGTGACAGTGAGCACAGCCCCCCTGCAGCACAGTTTGGGCTGGATATCCCCACAACTGCTGTAGAGTGAAGCCAGATTGTTTAGATCCAGCACAGGTGGCACAGGCTTCTACTTTGTTTAGACTGTACACCCAGTGGTTATTGCAAAAACATCATGAGTCAACACTGCTCATTCCAATGTGGTGCAAATACAGGCAGGTATGATTACACTCAGTTTGGTTTAGGTCAGTTTAGGTTTATATTCAGTTTACAGATTTAATTTTATTTCACTCTTATTCTGAAAATTCTGAAACTTCTGCTCATGCTTTTACCCAGTTTGCCCAGGTTAACTTCCAGGTGCATATGGGAGTCCAAAGGGATGAAGCTATACAGCTCACTCTGTAGAACCACTATCAGCATATTAAAGCCAACTTAATCTCTCCAGTTCACAAAATAATGAAAGAAAATTACTCTTTTCCATAACTCCCATTAAAATAATTTCCTACACAAACTAGCAAAAGGTATACATTTTTTACCAGCTGTTGCCTGGAGGCAAAAGTCAAACTATTTGAATAATTGACAGTGGGTGAGCTAAGCTAGGAAAATTTTCTTAGATACACACAAGACCTCATTAGATTCAACACTCATTAAGATTTGGAGAGGGTTTGTAAGAGGAATTATCATCCCTAAAAACTCAAGTCATAGACGTCCATGGTTTGGTAAGCAGATGTTTGGTCAACAAAGAAAAATGAATGTTTTGTTTAGTAAGTATGTTTCCTGTCTGCTTGTTAGGATTAGCTACAAACTTCCCTGAATTTCTCACTCACCAGATCTTTAAGACAATACCTGCTGCTTATTTACAGAAAACAACAAAAAACAAGAGCTTGGAAAAAGGAGTGCAGAGGAGACTAGTTATTTTTAAACATAGCATTTACATAGCATTTAATTTACTTATTGTGCTTAAACATAGCATAGGAAAAGATTTCACATTTATGCATACCTGAGTTTGAAGTTTCATCATGTCAGCTTCAATTTTAAGATTGGATTCATTCAGTTCTTTTATTTCCTCATCCAAGTGTCTTATTTCTTCATCACTCTCAATACCTGTAAACAGTTAAAAATAACAATATCAGATTTAAAATGTCCACATGTAAATGGATGTATGAGTAACAAGCTTATTTACCTGTTACTTAACCATAGGAAAATAAGATTTCTAACAGATGATTGATCCTTAACTTGCCTTTTACTTTGATTTTATTGTCAAAATTCTTCCCTACCTATTAAACATCTGTATGAGCTAAAACATAGATTGGGCTATCTTAGTCCTAATTTTTTCAAAATTTCTTTCTTGTTCATTGCATTGGGCAACTACAAGCTGGAGGGTACAGAAAGGAGAAAATTTCCATAAAGAAAAAAGTTTATCATAAAACATGAGGAGATATTTACAGTGCTTGGGTATGGGGTTTTTGTTTGTTTGTTTGTTTGGTTGGTTGGTTTGGTTTTGTTTTGTTTTAAAAATAATACAACAGCAACCTTTCTTTTTTTAGGAAACACACCAGGGCAACATCTTCACTAGCATTATAATTGTTCACTCATCTGTACCTGTTTCTGATCTTGCAATATCTCTATGAGGGCAAGTTCCTGTGCAGAATAACTTCAATAAGCACAGCCTGAGATATATCTGATAAACAGGGAAGTTTAAATAACAGGAAAGGGCGAAATTTTTAGAAAGCCAACAAGTATTAAAAAAGAAAAATAAAAAAAAAAAAAAAAAAAAAAAAAAAAAAAAAAAAAAAAAAAAAAAAAAAAAAAAAAAAAAAAAAAAAAAAAAAAAAAAAGGAAGTCAGTCTTTTTCATCCCAATAAGTTAGATAGAATAGAAAAAAAACTTCAGTTCTTTAATGAAAGCCTTGTCCTGAAAAACACCGAGCTGTAACAGCTGCTGGCAAATACATGTGCCTGTTTCTGCTGAGTATCACTCTGAGCCCAGCTCTGCCTGGAGATTTGTGCCGCTGTTGTTGCTGCTTTAAAGCCTAGAACTGAGTCTATTGGGGAGCTAGCATGGGAAATCTGTAAGTACTAATGCAACCGTTTTCCTCAGCAGTTGGAGGCTAAAGACTAAATTTCCTGATCCCTGGCTCAATGCCCAGCTTGCTAAAGCACATTATATAAGAAGGGAGACTCCTACTCATTTCTCCCTGCAATTCTTTAGTAATTACTGCTTTGCTCTTAGGTTAGCTAAATTGCACACACACTGCATAGATGCTAAACCATGTAGGAATGAAGTTAGAGAGATGAGTCAATTTCTGCCTACAGTATTTCTCCCTTCTTACCTTATTCATCAGATAGCTAACTAAGCCCTCCTGATCTGTAACTAATTGTTTATTAATAAAAACAATATTTAAAGAATACCTATATAAAAAATAATGCTCTTGAACAAGAGCATATCCTCAATGTTATCAAGATGTAAATGACAATAATTTTATAATCTCTCATGCAAATATTTTTGTTAGTCGAGATTTTTTATTGCTAGAGACAAAGTAGTGAGAATTAATGCCAGAATGGCATAAAGGGGCACAAGTATAAATGGGAGTCAGGGCCCTTCTATCTAAATAAATGTCATCATTTTTTACAGATCTCCTTACCGCCACTTGCTTTAAGCTTGATAGTCATTAATTCTTCTGAAATTTTGCCCTTTTTTATGGTTTGTGCATTCAGAGGACAACCAGACAGGCTGAAACAGATAGGAAAAAAAAACATTAGCACCCACTTGAAAATGGCAACAATCCTTTCAGGCAATATTATCATGCACTTGGACAGACCTCTGTACCTAAGGTCACATCAGTATCTCCATTATAGCATGGCTTCGGGGAATGACATAACTCATAAAGAGTCATTTAGCCGTATATTCCTGCTTGAAAATTGGCACAGAAATCTCAATCTATGAGTAAACAACTCTTAAGCATATTTCAAAATAATCAAAATTGCAGTAGCATCTACTGTTAAGCTATATGAAGATGCATTTACAGAATTCTTTAAATTCAAACACTTTTAAACTGTTTTTTACAAGGGATTGTGCTCCAAAGGAGAGGAGAGTATGGTATTTAAAATGTCAAGTTTACTATCCTAAAAAAAATTAGTTAATAGGATGATGTCCACAGTGCGCAATTATTGTATCACTTTCTTGATACATAATAATGATCAATACAATAATAACTCTGGATATACCCTATAGGCTGTAATAGCTTTTTTGAATGGTTCCATTATATAGCCAGTTTGCTTTTTAACCACTGTTCACATTAAATTACATTTTGCTATTTCAAAGCTTACAATTTCATCAGCTGGTAATTATCTGAGGCAATTTTTATAGCCCACTAAAGGGCTAAGAGGAATTGCACTGTCTTAACACTATCTTTATAAATAAAAAAGAAGAAATACTGATATGTTGAAGAGCTGTCAGAAAGATTCGGTTTTAGGTGTAGCTGAGTAAGGAGAGAAGGAAAATTTTGTTCCACATGAAAATGGTTGATGTGTGTGAATGTGTGTCTGTGTCTGAGTGTGTGTGTAAATTTTTTTTTTAAGAGAATCCTAAAAGACATGACATTTCCACTTAGGGAAAAATAAAAAAAAGCAGCAAAACCTAAGCTTTCATTAGCTTAGCTAAAAACTATACAGGGAAAGATGCTAGTTCTTCAGTTCTAAATTTCTGCTTATTATCTCTGCCCAGGGCAGATACCTAATTTTGAGATTGTTTGAAAGGAACTTGTTAGGTTTCAAATGTCCTAGGAAAGAATGTCAAATGAAGTTATATCTGCTCTGTCATTTTGACTAACATGATCTTGAGAGTGATCCAGTCTTATGTAGGAGAGGAATCATCTGAACTATGAATTGCTACCAGCTAAAATATAGGTTTTTTGCTACTTGCTTAATTAGCTACAATTTACAGCAGTGTCCTAAAGAAAAGACTTTAAGATGGGATGTAGGAAATAAAATTAGGATAACACTGGACTCTGACTGAATTTGTTCAAATGACCTTGGTTATTTCTTGTTTCAGAGAAGTTGGCTCAAAGTGTTAGGAAGAAAGCAAAGGAGATAGAGAATGTAGACTTAATTTCTATTAAAGACAGAAAACCAAACTTGCTAATCAGAGTATTTAATTATTTTTGAATCAATATAGTCAGATTATTTTTCACAGTGATAGATGGTGTTTATTGTTGTTAGTTATATGTGTGACTCCTTCTCTGCAATGATAATTTTCTTTGTAAGACTGTTGTAACTTCAAACTTCTTTAATCCATATGAATGCTGCATGCTTATTGTTTTTCCTTTGTGTAACTTTTGCTGTTCAAATACAAAGCTTATGATTTAACTTTTTCACTGGTAGAAAGATTAAATTAATGACTCTTGGCTAAAACTTTTCTGGTGGCATTTCAATGATATTTCTCTATTCCTTGGAAGGTATGCAGATACAACTCCATATTTCCCTAGGAAAGGACTCTACTTAATTTTAAAATGCATAGGCACTGTGATAATCTGAACACCTTAGAAAGTCATGCTTCAATGGGAACATAGAAAGAGATGTAAAAGTTTAAGTCTCTCAAAGTAATATTTTGTATTACTTTAGCTGCAAGGTTATTACTCAAAAGACTTTAGCATAATTTATTCTGACTCTAAACTCACATGTTGCCAATTCAGAGTGGAATGTTAAGGAAAAATGAAAAGAGAAAAAACAAAGTTATACCTTCTGTGGGTGACAAAAACATTATTAACATGACCCAGCCCGTTGCAGCCTGGCAAAGGACAGTGTGGCAGCTCTTGTTTGTTCAGTTTCCAGGATAGCGAAGACCCATTGACAGGACTCTCCTTCTGTCTCTTGGCAGCCAAAGGACAACCAGAAGCAGTGCGATGAGAAGTGTATTTACCTGATATGTGACCTTGGCCATCACAGCCTATCACTGGACATCTACAGAAACAGCAAAAGAAGCCTCATTTTCACCGGAGAGAGCAGGCAAAGACAGTCTCAAAAAATCCTGAGAAAATCATTCTGGCTGCCTTTGCTACTTTGCTTTAATGGAGTAAGACTTGGTCCCTGGTGGCACACTGTACCAGGGCATACAACTCTTGTCAAGCTACATTATGGGGGTTCAGCTGATCTTAAAATAAGGCAATTTAAAATAAAATTGTAGAGACTAAGAATATAATACATTCATTTAGATAGTGTTTTACTGGAAAAAAATGTTCAAATTCTATCACAGGCAATAAATCAAACTTCTTCAAATGTATGGAAAGTCAACATTGTCTCGTTTCTATCTTGGTTTCTGGTATGAAGCAGAGGGTGTGTGCCTGTAACTGGAGAACTTGCATGGAAATCCATGCAAATTCTTGCAAAGGAAGGGGAGGGAACTTTTTGTGCTGCTCTGTCAGTGTTTTGCAGTTTTGCATATATCATTAGCAAATATTAAGACAACATTCCATACAACTAAGTCTTCACTTTTATATTCTGGAAGTTACCATTTACAAATTTTAATGGAATATGCATTCAAGCCAGGACTGTAGGGAATCTTTACTGAGATTCCAGTTTTCACTTTAAGTGAAATTTTCATTCATAGATATAGAAAAGACATGTGACTTACAGATATTTAAGTTCTATGGAACATATTTTTAAAGTGTCACTCTGATTTAATTAGCTAACATGTTTCACCTCAGTCAGTAATTTTCCTTCATTTTGCCAAATTTTTCAACCAATTGGCACTTGCATAGCACTCTTTAAAATAATTGGAGCAATACAAGCAGATACGACAATCCTTCCTCAGTGCTCAGTCTCCTAGGTGATGGACTCCACCAACTCCACAAGAAGCAGAAACACTTGGTTTGGTTCCAGCTCTGGGCACTATTCTCACATGGTTCAGATTAACTGGGGTATCTCCCTATGATTCCTCAAGTCCTGAACTCTCACAGGCCATTTCCCCCCTCCACTGGCAGTGGACCCCTGCTTCTGTACTCACTTAAGTTCAGGGTCTTCTTTTTCTTCCTTGGTAGGAGTGACTTTGATACCTCCTTTCCTGGCACGAGGACAGCCAGACAAGCTGAAAGAAGCACACAGAATAAGAGCCACCTCTTTCTGCTGCTGCCAGCCGAGAGCCCTGAGCACTGCAGCCCCATGTGATGGGATGGTTGTTACCTTCTGTGGGATGCATAGTTCCCTGTCACGTGGCCAGAGCCATCACAGCCAGGTGTTGGGCACCTATGGAATAATACGGGAAGCTTAGAAAATACAGTCACAAAGATACAGTAAATAATGTGTACAATCTGTATTTTGTCTAGAGTGGAAAAAGAACAACAGAGCGTTTTGTTGAATAACTAAACATATCTCTTGCTGCTTTATTCAAATTTTCTTAAATAAGCAGACTCCCTTTTATTGGGGAGGTTATTTTTTTTTAATAGCAGAATTTTAATAAGAAATGTGGAATATATTGTATATGATGTGTTGATTTAGTTAGTTTATATCAATATTTGCATCTAATATTTTTCCTTGTACAGAATCAACATTATAAAGAGAAGGGAAAAGCAGCTTGATATAGAGCTATCTGCAAATTTGCTATTATATGTTTGTTTGTTATTGGTATGATGTTTTCAGGTGGAGATATAAATAAGCACTTTGCCAGTATTTACAGAAATGGAAATTAAAACAGAGAAGCGGTTTTACTTTTGGGCATCAGTAGATGGTAGCCAGAATTTGAATATAATAATTTGTGTATTCTAGTATTGTAAGCATGCCACAGGATCGTCTCTTTCTCGCTTGAGATTCAGGTGGGTGTTCAGCTGAGCAATTGGATTATGCCTATTTCTCATAGTTAAAGGGTTTTTCTGTTTATGTGTGACAAACAAGTCTTTTTCAAGTTTAATACTGAAACATCCATACAATAAAAAGAAAAAAATCTGATGGTTACTGTGCTTTTGCCAGCAGTCTGGCAGGATGGGCTTCTTGCTTGCTATGCCCCAAAAGCCAGCTTGGGTCAGTAGGTCCTTCCACTGACTTCTGTGGTGTTTGAAGCAGGACCTCACTGGTGACATCTCAGAAGTACAGAAATTTGATTTTTTTTTTAAATTTAAGGCTGTTGTGTATTTGTGGAGTGGCTTGGTTTGAGGATTTTTTAGAGAATATTAGCATACCTCAGCAAACAAAGCAGCTCCAAAAACATTTGCCTTAGAAGCTATGCCAGCCTTTTCTATGTTTCTGTATTATACAACACAAAGTTTTTATTCTAAGCAACCCTAAGGGACTTTGACATGCTATTATTTTTACAGAGTATCAGAATTACATAAGGAGCTGTGCCAAATAATGTTGTGCTGAACCATTAAGGAAACTTGCAGGGTTCAATATGCTCTTAAGGGTCTCAGTTACTGAATCTTTCCTGAGTAAAAGAGATTCATGATTTCATATAATCATTGGTAGGCTGCCATGGAAAACACCTACAAATATAATTGTAATAGTACATCTGAGTGTGCAGGTGCATCTCTTCACAGAATATTTCAAACTAGTTTTCTGTGAACAATTAATTTGTCAAAAAATCTGACTTCTTTTGGACATGAGCAAATTTATGCATTGATTGAAGTAGAATTCAGCAAATGATTTCAAATGAAGAAAGGGGTGCCTTTTTTTTTCAAAGATAATATCAAAACATTTCATGACAACACCTAGTGAACAAAATATTTTTGGCAGAATTACTTGCCTCACACTGACAGCAAAGGTAAAGGTGGGGGTTTGCAGAGTGCCAGGACATGCTTTACCGTGTACAACTAAATGTTGACCTGTTTAAGTGTGGGACAAGGACTGGGCACAATGTCATGTGGAGCAGGCAGCAAGGGCAGATGTCTGGAGAGTGTGAATACTCACAAGTAAATCCAGAACACCTGCCAAAAACTGAGAAAATTAATTTTGGCTACTTGTTTTATCAGATGATCACAGATGGAAGGCCTTTCTGCATAGAATAGAGGTGGACTTTAATTCAAGAAAAGCTCTTTGTGTGAGACATTCAGATCTGAAAGTCTGGGAGTGGTGAATATACTTTAAAAGGACACTGAACTTAATTTTCTATCACCCCATCTGTAGTTACCACTTCTGGCAGCAGACAAATTTCCAACCAGATTTGAGTCCAATCTATTCTGGAGGTCACTGAAGATTTGAGGCTGAGATATTATCAGGACTAATGAAACTGTAAAAAGATATTTCAGGTGGGCTACTGGCAAATAAGTAAAAAGCTTCATTAGCAAGACTCCTAATTTTGACCACTGGGCTGGGTTTTCTAAATATTGCTTATGTCTTTTTATGAACTATGAAATTCCAGAACACAAAATACACCAAAAACCCATTGCCTTTCCATCAGTAATGCTGTGAAAGTTCATCAGCTTCTAAGTGGTGTTTGGACTGGTACCCCAGCTTAGGGAGTCATCTTCTATAATGAATTCCTGTGCAGAGCCAAGAAAATAAGAATTACATTGAAAGACCAGAGGTCTCAGGACATCAAATTAAGAGATGTCAACCCTCAGGTGGGTGTAGGTTACAAGTTCTTCTACAATTCTTCCAAATTTGTTATTAAAAATATATATCTCTCAATGATTTTACATATCAATTCTTGCAAATGGCATTGACTACCTCCTATTTTATCCCTTTCTCCAACAAGAGGATTGCTTTTTCTTTAGGAAGATGAACTACAACTATGTGTAAAATTGAAACACTGAGCTGCAATATTTTATGTTGAGCCCACGTAGAAAAACTACTCAAATCTCTCCTAAAAATTAACATTTAACCTCTGCAAAAACTAGTCTAAGGGTAGGTAGGACTGACCACCTATTCCTAAAAGTTTCTGAATTATAAGTAAATACCTCTCAAAAGTACACATTTAAATTTTTTAAGGTTTGATAAGCGAGATCTTTGATTAAATAGAATATCAGCCACAATTATCCCTTTTAACTTTAAAATCTGAGTCATCACCAAACTTATCAAGCTTTTAATTGACCACCTCAGATTGTTCTGAACAGCAAGAATCCTCATATAGATATTTTCTTGAATCTGAATCACAGGCACACTTTCTGAGCAGATCTTCCTTATTTCCAAACTGTGGATCACATGGAAGCCTTGTATCTTTGCTGGCATAGAGTTTCATAATTAAAGCCAAAATCTTATCTTGATTCTGGCAAATTAAACATGAATAACATTTGGAAAAAATACACAGCTTTTTCATATTCATGCCTAACTACATGAGGGTACTTTCCTGGCCTGATTCTATGAGCATTTATGCCCTCTGCTCACATAGCAATGCTACAATTAACTATTGATATCACTATACCAGTACAAGCATGATTGCAACATTGTGGAAAAAGATTTAATTTAGACAGAAGCAAAGTTTTGTTCAAAATACCACCTGAACTACGTTTGCAAAAACCAAAATTAAGGTGGTACATTTATGGAAAATAATTTTATTTAGCCTTTTTTTCCTTTTGCAAATTGTCTGTGAACAGATTTTGATTTTTGCTCTTTTTCTAGTTAATTGAAATTAAATGCTAACTGCGTTATGCAACATATTTCTGTCTGTGAAATGTCCATGAACTTTGACTTTGTCTTTCACAACTCACTTATTATACATGGCGTACAGTGTGCAGTTTGTCATTTAAGTCATATGCTGTTGCTCCTCTTTCCTTATGGCATGACCAAAACTCTAGAAGCTTTAGTGGAAAAATAACCATATTGGTATGCAAATTTACTTATTCACACATGAATGGGGCGGGGGGGTGATGCATGAGGAGCAACTATTCAAAATATTTGTGTGAGTGTCTTTGTATGGCAGAAAGCCAATAAAAGCAGGGACAAATATATATGACTCAGCAAATGACTTCAAATTCGTCAGCATTTTTGCAAGCCGGCTCCTTGCTAACCATTCTGCTCTTTTAAAACAAACGAAACCTAAATTTTATACCTTTGAGGATCAGAAATGTCAAAAAATGCAGCATTGTGCCAGTGTGCCAGTTTACCTAGTGGCTTTGTGAACTGCTTTGGACAGCTGCCTATATAAACTGTCTTTCTTTGCTATTTTACTGCATCTCCTGTACATTCAGCTTCATAACTACTATCAGTTCAGCATTTCAATTATAACTGAAGTCGTAAGGCTAGGGAATAAAACCACTAACATTTGATCTGGGGAAGCCAAACACTGCTTCAAGCCTATTCCCTTCTGCCACTAATAACATTAGAAAAGGAGAATAGTGCCATGATCAGACTTTATTTTCTTCTATCTGGACTAGGGATGAACCTAAAGGACAGAAAGGACAGTCACGGGGTTCTCCCCTTTTTATGTGCATTCATGAATTTTTCCAAGCCATATATTATGGGATCCAATTTACAAGTTGCAGAGGGAAAGCTATGAAAGAACTCTAATTATCCTTCCCTTTTCCCCACATCCTTACTGACAAAGCCAATTCAATAACTAGATGACTGGTTGCCAGTGCCTCTCTTGACTACAGATTTTTGAAATATTCATATGTCCCTATACATCTGTCTATATAGCAAAGCCTGCACAGTCCTTTTGTAAGTGACATTTCATGGTGAGAATTATGCCAGCACAAAATCATATGACTTGATGCCTACTTTAGTCACATTAAACTCATAATATAGGGTAGGGACAAATAAAAAATATTTGCAGGTATCCTGGTGTCATTTTAGATTTATTGTAACTAGATTTACTTCTAACTAAATAATTCCAATTAATTCTATCTGGATCAGTTGCCAGATCCATCTTACATACTAGATATTTTCTATTCCTCTCTGATTCAAAAAAACTGAAAAAACTGCATCTTCCCTAGTGTTCACAATTTTTGTCCCCAAGGCCCTGATTAATTGATGTAAATGAAGGGGTGCAAGAATAAAGAAAGACAAATGGAGAAAAGTAAACTTTATTTCACTCAAAAGCTTTCAAACAAATTCACTACACTTTTCAGAAAAAGATTTGATACCACTCAGAGCAATTCAAATTTACAACTTCAATAACACAAGGAACATGTTTGTTGAAGAGAAAGAACAATAACATTTGTGCTATTGTCAATACTTACTTGAGCTCCTGAGAGTTAGCAGCCATAAGGGATTTTAATGTCTTGTCAGCTAGTGGGCACCCAGAAACACTGAAAAGAAAACCTGATGTGAAATATTTTACTAAACCAAAGCATTTCTTTTTATTTAAAACACCAACATCCAGACAACATATTATTTATATTAGTTAAAATTATACTCTCAGATATTTATTCTCAGCAAAGAAGGACCGGCATAAGGCTGTGGTTCTTAAATCACTAAAAAAAGTATGCAATTCAGAACAAAGGTTTCTAGCCCCTGTAAAGCTTTGCTATGAAGGGCAGTTGTACACAGAATCTATCCTTTATGTTTCCTATATGAAGGACAGTTAGGGGATCTGGTCCACATGGTTGGTAGAAGGCAGAAAACACTTCCATTCTGCTCCCAAGGGAAAAACAGGAAATTGTTGTTTCAACACCTAGGTTGACAGTTGGCTATTTTGAGGAAAATGTTTAATGTCCTCAGGTTATAATAGTAGATTATGAATTTCAAAGCCATTCATAGACAGATATACAGAAACCTCATATATAATCAGATGCAAAAGTATCTTTATAGAGACTGTTTGTACGCTCAGGGAAATGCAAACTTCATTAGATTACTTATCTGCAGGTCTCAGCTGAGAAATGCAGCTACAGTAATAAGCATATGCTGCTTAACTGCCTCAGTGTTTAAGTCCACACCTTCACAAATATAACAAAATCAGGAAAATAAACCACGTTTATGTGCAGATTGTTTTCTGCAAATTGTTTTTAAATACTTATCCATGGTTAGTGCAAAAAGGTTTAAAGATCACAAGAGTCAGAAGTAGCACTATTTCCTGTTTTAGGCTTCCTGTTGTGTCTTACCTGCGGTGTGAGGCATAGTTTCCTGTTACATGACCACTACCATCACATCCTGGGGTCGGACAGCTATGCAGAGAAGAAGGAATGAGAAATTAGGGTATATCTAATTCACGACATAGCTCACCATACTCTGCAGTGAATTATGTAATGATCCTTAGGGCAATCACGTTCATCATTACACACTGTCACGACACTGCAGTTATCTAGAAAAACTTCACTTCTATTTTTTAATTATTACTTGACACACAGAGGGAATTTTTCCTATTTCTACAATGCAAATAATTAAACCCCTTATTTTATCTGCGTAGAGTTACCTTTGCATAGGTATTTTGCTTATAAAGTGGGTTCTTAAAAAGACTGTTTTATTATTGGCACAAAATTTTCACAGCAATTCATAAATGTGGAAGCTGAAGTTTCTGATCTGACCTCTAGTATAACATACTGGGGGCCAGAGAACAGTAATATTTAAAATAATTCCTTTCACTTCTGACTAAAATAAGGTACCTTCTTTAGAAACATATCCAATATTTATTTACTGATACAAGTGAGAAAGTTGTTAGGGTTGCTTGCAGAAGAGAAAGCACATCAATATCACACATCTGAAGCTCTGAAAGAGAACAAAACTTTCTCAAGCTGTTTCTCAGCAGAACTGAGAAGTGATACAAAGGTGGTTGTTGTGGTTTGGGAATGGTACTCTCCAAATTATTGTTCCCACCAAGACTCTCTAGACCATAGGCTGCTACTCTCCCCCCCTTCCTCCTCTCCCTGTGGCAGGTTGGAGAGTAGAATTGGAGGCACAGAATGTGAAAGCCACATCTCAAGATAAGAGCAAATCACTGGAAAAAGCAATGAGACAACAAAATGAATGAATAAAAATTCATTCAAAATTAATGGTAACAGCAAAAGTATCCATAAGAAAGTGCACAAGATAGGCAAATGATTGCTCAGAACAGAACTGGTGTTACCCAAGCACTGCCTTTGCCAAGCTTACTTGACTGGGAGGACAGCCTTCTCCCTGGGTGAGGTTATAGAGTAACCCTCAGCCACCTCACCTCTTGGCTACTGCAAAATTTAACCCTGTCCTGCTGGAACCAAGGAAATGGTGTACATTTAACAAAACAGATATGCTCATTTAAAACAAGAGATGGAGGGATGCTGGAGAACATTGCACAGCTTCTCTTTTTCCTCAGCCCTTCTTCAGTTGTAACACTGAAGTCAAGCTGGGATACAGTCCTCTGCAGAAGAGGAAAGATACCAAGAAATGCAACTTGTGCATGGAGGGGGAGGTGAATTAAGTATAATATTTAAAACACTCTAACACCAACTCTGGAGAGTTGCCTTATAGAGAACTGTTTTTCTTTCGTTGGAAATATGGATTAAAAAGGCAAGCAGAGGCTACACAAAAACTGCTAGCTAGTGCTCCATGCTAATGAGAAAGGGGTGCCTGAGATGCTCACCTGGCTATTTTCTCTGAGCTGGCAGAATGCTAGGAAGATTTTCAAATCTGTAAAAAAGCCTTAGGAAGAAATCAGCCTCATTTTCTTAGCCCATTTGAACCTGAGTGATACCATAATGGCCAATAGAATTTACATGGAAAAATAGCGCGTGCTAGATGGTGAGATTCATACAGTAGTTTGCTCCAACTGTGCTAACTAACCACGTTCAAAATTTTTCTCTGCAAGTGCTTATGTCATTTTAAAAGCTTCCTCATGATGGAGCCAACTGTACTCAATTTTTCAGTAAAATATCTGAACTCAGTGGGATCACAGGAATGTAGTCAGATCTCTATATTGCCTATAGATTATTCTGATAAATTAAAACTATTCTTTATTTAATTTTTTGACACAATTACATTTTAGATAGCTGTTTTTAGATACTTTTTGAACCACTGTAAGCTCATCATTGCTCTAGTAAATACTTTATTTAGGAGAGTAGAAAAGTATATTACAGGTATCTCAAAACAGGTCAGTATCACAAAGGAATAAATACTACAAAAGAAAAGCCATTAGCCTTCAGCAGATAAACTCTCAGTGATTTTTGTATGTATTTGTTTTAGAAGAAGAGGCAAGACAACCTGACCTGCAGCAATTTAGGTCATGAACTATGACTGCAGATATAATGTGGTGAGTAGACAACATGCAGACTGCATGACATGAGGGGAAAGAATCGCTCTTCACAGCAGCTTGCCCCAGGGAAATGTAAATTCTAGAGACAGAGGCAGCTCTAACAGCTTCAGTGCCACCGAGTCTGGAGAGCAGGACACAAGTTGGTGTGACGTGACTTGTTTATTCATGGGTGAGCCTGCAGTTATGGGCTATCATCACTAAGTGATACGGACCACGCTTATTCAGAGAGACCTGCTCTGCTTTGGGACAAAAAGAAATGTGCCATAAATGGTTGCTGAGTCCTGGCTGACTATTACAGTGATAACTCTATGTTAATTTCAAAATTATATTTATGTGAACCCAAAGGGATTTTGTGAAGAGCCTAGATAATATTTTTAAAAAGTGACTTGTGTTATGAGCTGCTTGGGACAATTCTGGTGAAAAATTCTAAATTGAAACAAACTGTTGTATGCAGATTGATTTAATAGAATGTCTTTTCTGTTCTAGATAGTAAAGTTTTTTAACTTAATGCAGAGCAAGTGCATGTCAGTAACTGGGAAAGAGAGTATTAGCCTATAGTCCAGGGCGTGAATTTCTACAACCACTGGATTTTCAGTGGGACTGAATCACTACTTCTGCTTGGAAGGAAGCAGATGAAGGACTTAAACCTGTTTCGTACAGGTTGGAAAACCCCGTTTTGTCTTGTAATTTATCTTTTTATGAACTCTGCATGTTTTCTGTCTGAGAAATCCTAACTGCTTCTACACAAGTTCTAAGCAATGGATCTATAATGACAATTGTTCAATTAAAGCTTATTTAAGCATTAGCAGTGGCAATGTGTAGCATGTTATGAAATTGTGTGTTTTGTAGAAGGAGCTGTTTCCCACTTGTTACCTATCTATCTGAGGAATAAGGAGTGGCACCCAGTATAAATTTAGTCATTAATCTATCCAGACTCTGGCTTGTCGCAGCTCCAAACCTCATGTCTGCATACCCATGATGTGGAACTAACTACTGGCAGGGAATTGTGCAAGTCTCCCTGCTCAGCTCCTGCAAATCTACTTCAAAACAGACATCAGAACAGCAGCATAGCCAGTCCTTACTAGGGCAAAGGAAAATGTAGCATTTTTTGTGACTCACGTGATGAGTTCCTTTTTGAGATCTCTTGAATGGAGCTTGGTTTTAGGACTGGGTATGGAGACATCTCCTGGGTACTTCTTCTCCTCCATGTTTTCTGGAGAGCTCACTGGATCTTTCTGAAATATTAGATGAGAATGTAACAAAAGGTTGCTCTTCAAGTCCTCCCACACATTCAAGAAACAATTTACCATGGCAAGAAGAGAACCTCTTGTAAACTTTAAAAAAAAAAAAAAAAAAAAAAAAAAAAAACCAAAAA